AGAGCCAGGAGCTTTCAGGATACAATCTCCACATCTATCAGTCCGTGACAATCTTCAGCAGACGAAAATTCCCACTTATTTCACCACAAGCTGTGACATTTTAATTGAAGCGAGATTTCCCTTTCTTCTTTATACAGTTTATTAAATTGACTAAATCATCATCATCACGAGGTATGAAAATGGTAGAGAGGCAGCCTTGGGAATGTAAGACAGATTGGCTATGGAAGAAGAAATAGGAGCAACTACAGCGAGCTCTATATACATGAATTGAGGGTGTTTGCTGAGTAATGCCAAGACTAGATTAGCATTCATGTCACGTGTAGGTGTTTCATGTTCAAGCACCTACACTGCCTTGCTCATTGCATGTTTGGAGCCCTGAGGGCGTAACTTCAACTCTGGTTTTGTCGAACTAATAGACCTGCATATGAGGCAGAATAAGGCTGAGAAGGAAGCACGTGCAATCAACCGTGCGTTACATAATTTGGTATTTGGTACTATAATTAGTTGCGCCTACTTTTACATGTTTACCATATTAGCGCTCATCATGTTTTTACATTGTGTTTAAATTTGATAACACAGTCTGTTTGTAAGATGGGATGATGAGATTACGTGGTCTGGACTATTGAAACTAACTGAAGGAAGACGAGCGAACTTGTATTTAAACAGAAGTGAGATCATGGAAGATAGGACAATCAATCATTTTCTTCTTTCCCTTCTCTTTGAGAAAACATCGAAGTCCCAATCCTGTGACAGGTTTCCTGTCTCAGTTTTCATTCCCAACGTTCTCTTTACCTACAGGCCAATGATACCTATACCAGTAGTATATTCCCTCCTATGCCTCCCATACAGCTCACCTCAGTAACACCCCTCACAATTCCTCATCAAATCATACAATAAGAGGACTCCTTTGCCCTTCATTATTTCCCCTCTCCAGCCAACGAAATGATGACCATATGCGGGTGTATGGCAACCGGGAAAAATCGCAAGAGCCACTAGGTGCGGAGCTCTTCTGATACCGACATTAGGACTAAATCCGAAGAAATTGTGATCCTTCTGATGCGTTCGAAGAGGCCGGCCAGCTGGGTGCTGCAGACTTGTGTGTACCTCGGGAAATCCACGCTCTGCATTTCTAGTCTCCTTCCAATTCATTCCCGAAGGTAGTGCTGAAATGTCAGAAAAGTCTTGACAGAGCGTGATTGCTGTATGGTAGCTTAGCCTAGCTTCTTTTGTGCCGTCCAGGGCGCTGGGGAGTGCCATTGACTCATTGACAAAAGAAGTCCTCCTGGTTGATCAGATGAAATCTCGGTCTTGGCGCACATAAACGCTCCAAAGTTGAAAACCACTCGAAAATGTTGGAATAAAATAACAATTGTTATACTAATAAAGACTTAACAAAATTACAATACACATTTCCAGTCATATACACACCATTCATAGTCCACGAGTGATCCAGCTCTGTAGAGCCAACACTAATATCTTCTACTCGTATCCTTTACTCGTGTCCTAAACGGAGCAAGTGATCTGTCTTCCCGCCTCTTTCTTAATATCCGAAGTCCATTATCACGTGATCTGGGTCTTCCATAACACAACATGTCATGCAGACTTCCTGCCCAACTGGTGACTACCAACAGTCAGGTAAATATGTGACCCATGCTTTATTTAACCCGTAATATTAATTTATATATAAGGTCTCAACAGAAAACATCGGTCCCCACTTGGTCTTCGGAGAACTGTTTTCCCTTTCGCTCCACATCTCAGCCGCCTATCCTTCCTTAAGTGTTATGATATGCGATAACTTGGTAGTCGGGGTTACGGCATTGCATAGGGCCTTAGGCCACAGGACGGTGTCACTAGTGTAATGGTTAAGCGAGCGTGTATATATTCTCTTAGGTGTACCCACATTCCAAGGAAATAGGATAATACTTTTACTTTCAGTTCATACTCTTACAGCATCATGTCATACAAGGATATTCACTGTCACCCACATCAATCACATCATCTATTCCTCATCACTCCGTAGTATATCTTCCACATCGCTCATAACCACAATATTAAGCCATACAACCCCATTAGAGCAGCAGTCCCCCATAAACCTAGACCCCAACTTTGTATATTATGGCTTAATTTCCTCCTTGCGGGTATATGTAGCGTCGTAAATTTGTAGTAAGTGATGGCCGGTAATAAACGAGGCAAGCTCCTGTTTGCAATTGGGGTGACGCCTTTATCGGTCGTCGAGGCGAGATGATGTGTGATTAGATCGAGTTTGAGGACTCAGAAGATATTGGTGAGTTCTGCATGGTTGAGAATTCGTCAAATGGAGATGTACTTAAAGTTGCTTTCGACTCCGATTCGGATGCGATTCTTCTTGGCTATCCCAGACATGCAGAGCATACTGAGCCATTACACCGGCACCACTGGAAGGTGAAGAATTCGTCTCTGCCGGCACCTCGCCTTTTATTCCTACTTGAATTGTACTCATTATTATCACAGTGTTGCCTTTCTGTCCTGATCCACCTAACGCCCATCTCGAAGTTGTACCTCGCTAGATTCTGCGCAGAACAAAATTACTCACATGTATTCGAGGAATTGCGGAAAATTTTGTTATTTAGGATATGCAATTCTTAATTTCAGTTACACATTAAGGCAAGGGATTGAGAGAGAAACTACTTCGTCGTGTTGATAGCATATTAGCGGGGGTCTATTCTCGGCACCTATCAGTGGTGTCCCTTACGAACCTCTAGCTCTCACTGTAGAGTCTGCAGAGCCGAGATTGAGTAACAAAGTCCTCACTTCAACGAGGATTCCCAATCGCTTTCGGGGTCTGTATCGTCTTCATCTCTCAACACCCTCTGTCACCATTATCATGAAGCTAACCACGATCAGATCAGATGGTAGGGTCGGAGCCCTACTCGACACCAACCCTTGATCATGGAGGAGAAGCCATCCGATGAGTTTCCGGAGCGTACCCAGCACCCGGTACGGCGATGGTGGATTGGATCAAGTCGGCCTCGACTGTTACAAAGAAGGGAGACATAGATGAATATGCGCACCTCATGTGGTCCCGGTGTCTAGGCCTCACCTGGCTGGGGCTGCAGGTTTTCTGAGACTTTTTCCCGCGCACGCAGTTTCCATTGCTACCTTTTTTTTTTTTTTTTTTTTTTTTTGGGTAGAAGGTCCCGTGGAAAAGGTGGCTGAACTCCATGGATAAGTACTCAGTTGAATGGCTATTCATCAAGGACAAACATATCAAATATCCTTCAAGTAACAAAAGAGGATAGTAGCACTATATAAGGTATGTCCTGGGTCTGAGAGGAGTCCAATGTGTCAAATAGTCACGGACACATACAGCAAAATAAACTCACACACACAGCCTTTTAGCCTATCAACTACGAGTCCAGGCCTGTTGGGGGCACGTCTCAGACTTCACAAGATTTTCCGTGGGACCCAAAAAGCTTTGGACGCTGGATAAGCCATGGTGAGACTAAATGTAGGGACTTCCTAGTTACGTCGAGAAAGGGATTCATTCTTCCCCGAGTAGACTAAGCGTTTCCCGCGATGAACAGGCCAATCTTGCAAGCCGGCTATCATCGCTGCAGGATGATGCAGACAATTTGTGACAGGTGATGGTCCCTGCAGTTATTGCGCTATCAGGAAGGCTAATCCTGTACTGTTTTACTTCACTACTGCATGCACAATGTTACAGCCAAGGAGCGGGGCAAAGATGGAGCTCATTAAGCCCTGGCTTGTGGATCCTAATCATGTTCACCGACGCGGGTAGTGCGGAAATTTGGGATAAGAAAGCTGAGGATCCTGGGTGATATGTTCGTAGCGGGGAGAACTTGGGGATACTGCTGGACGTAGTAGTTCAACCGTGTAAATGTCGCAAATCACTCAATTGGTTATTAATTTTATGATCATAGGACCACAGCCTGTGAAGGAAAAGAATGTCCCATGCTAAATCACCCTACAACCCTGTGCATTTAAACTACACGAGTCGTTCGACAATCCCACGTCTTCAATGGCTTTTATTATTATTATTAATTCATTTTATTGTCCTGTATTTCAATGGCTTTTGAATGCCGGGCCAAACTACTTCACGACCATTGCACTCAAACACATTGCTGACATTCTTTCACTACTCGTCAGCTGTTCTGTGGTACCAATCCAGAGTGGCTGGGAAGGGAGAAAGACTCTTTTAAGTATACAAAAGTCTGCTGCGCCCGGCTAGCCGGTCTGTTTAAACATTTCAGATCGGTAGCTATGTCTTCGGATGTGGTCCTGATGTTGATAGCAGAGTATTGCACCCAGTGGATTATGTAGATTATCCTGCAGCTGTACATCCGCATACGGGTCTAGTTGACTTTAGAGGGGGAATAAAATGAGAGAATAGCAGCTCCACCAAGTGTGGACTCAAATGAAGACCCGTGCGGCAACTACCGCTGGAAAGAAATCGCAAGGTAGGCAAAGATGCTCACAGCCGTAGGGCAATAGGACCTATGTGTCTTCGTGTAGTAATAGACTTAGTCTGCAATAGATATAACCCCACAATCAATTAAGTATATTGGGTTATTAAATTCATGTTCTACAATTAGGATTTGAAATTTATCACTCGAAAAAATTCTGAGGTGGAGTAGCTAGCTTGTAAATCCTTTCAAGACGAGTCGATCATTAAGAAAATAGAGACTTTGGATCCAAGGACCTTTATGAGTTTTCCACTCAGATTTTTACGTTAGAATTTGAGTACGAAGTGAAGTATCGGTTTTTTGATACTTTAATTCATATCCCTCAGTAGATTATAAATATTATGTATTAACAAAGAATTTTGTAGAGGCCCAAATTTTCTTGCGTGCCAATCCTGTGATACTAATCATGTGCAAAGGTGCACCTCAAGTAACATCCAGCACGCCAATGCACCGTCATATTTTCCTAATCTTCAGCATTATCTGGGCACTGTTAGCCCATGATATATAATGCTAAGTTCCAATCATTGTCTTGTTAGTCTAGAAGCGTGGCAGTGATGTTGATGAGCTGGTCGTAGAAGTCTCTCCCCTTTTTTTGCCCCAATCTAGTCCCATCTTGTGCAAACGACCCGTGACTTTGCTTGGTCCTGGTTGATGGTCAGTCTCTTTTGCTTTCTTTATATCGGCAGTATATTTTGTCCCATGTGGGGAAGTAGGTGAATATATGTATTCGCCATTTACATATTGAGCTTCCGATACAAATGTGGTGCGACGGTTGCGCTGGCGAGTATAACGTTGTTCTAACCTGAGAATCTCCATCTTTTGATTAAGGCGCTCGAGGAGGTTCATGCTTAAAGTATTTGATGTTTATTTGGTTGGCCTTTAAAGGAGAATATAATGTTGTAATTAGGAATCAAGAGTCAAGGCTGTTGATGCGTGATGGTTGAGCCAAACTGAGTTAAATTAGAGAGGCTTTACTCCCTCTGTCAAATTATAGATCTATTCCTCGTTAGCACCTATTCGTTATAATTTCGGCCATTAGGTATAGATACTTGAAGCCACTGGATACAATGGGCAATCTTGGGGGCGTACCTTGGAAAATCAGGTTCTGCTCAGCAAGTTTAATCATGAAGGAAATCGGTGTTTAAGTCGGAACAACGGCAGGCCCCATATAGATGGGCAATGGCCTGTGAGGGCCGATTGGATGATAGGAGGGACGGATACCCTGACGCTGGTAAGAGCTGTAGCGGCATTCTAGTGTATTGGAAGCTCGCTGGGTCGATCGGGGGCGAAGGATGGAAGATTGGGAGAGTGGATTGTTGTGGCGCCAATCCTTTCCAGCCTGTTAAGGGGTCCTCACTGCTGTCACTGCAGCACGAGACCCTTTCCAGGAGGGTGCACATCATGAGCTCCAGTGCCGTGTGCCACATAAAGCTGGGAACAGCCGCATGATGGTCTTGGTAGATGGACATCTTTCCAACTTTAGCAAGCCAATACCTATAACTTGCATGCCACCCTGAGCTCCCTGACCAGGACTCTGTCGGAATTACAGACAAGATGTGAGACTACCCTCAACAATTAGCTGAACTGGTGGTTCGTCTAACAATTCAATTGAATCTGGTTAAGGCGTGACCGCATGTGATTCTGGTTATTTTTGAATAGATTTGTCTAAGATCCCCGTTTGGATCTAATGTACCCACGGCACTAATTCTTCTCTCTTGCAAACGATACGATTAATTCGGGTTTGTTCAAAATCACCAACTAGGTGCCTGGACTAAACTTACAAGCAAAGGAAAATCGATCTAGCTCGATAACCAGAGACTTATGTAGCACTATAAACTAAACAACCATATTCGAATGAGGCACACTGTGTTTGCAGCAATCTAGCAATGACACATGGTCAGTGCTTTTTGCACATGCTGGATGACTTTTTTGACCACAAACTCAGTCATGCCTTGAAATGACAAAGAGCTTCAAGAATTAATTATGTCAAAGAAGAAAACACACAATCTTTCACGAAAAGCTGCACAGCACTCCGCGCTGCTTCCTTCCTCAAATTGACTTTCTTAATCGTATTTTTCATCTAACTTACCCCATATCCGTCTCTATCTCCGCTGTGCCACAATCTGGTGGGTGCTGGTTCGATGGGATCCAGCGGTCTCGACGCGTCGCAAAATGCAACAATGGCCAAACAATCCGAAAGTGCAGGCGACACTATAATCACCGCCATGGCTGGATAGTGCGGTGGTACATTATCTTGGCCTGTCTACTAAGTAAAGTCTGCTTAGCTTGGACACCTATCCCACTCGAGACAGTAGATCGCTGGTTCAAATCCGACAAATCACAACCATATCTCTCGCGGTGCTGGTATACATATATGACGAAGGCATGCTTGGATAACCAAAGGTTTCGAAATTCCCTTTGATGGGTACTTACGGAGGAGGATCGACAGTTTGTGTAAGCGAACATACCTTATAGTGGTATTTGCAAATTAAATCTAGAGTATGAATGTCTCTAACGTCAAAAGAGTCATCCAATATGTACACATAGCACCAGTCATGTGTCATAGTTCTATAGCTGTATACAGTTTAAATAAATTTAAAAAAATAATCCTAAGGCAGCGGGACGTCCACAGCTCCACCAGATAAGAATCTAAATATCCCACGGCTATTTCAAAAAAAGCTCAATTCTCTTTATTTAGATGAAGACGACTATGGCATTACCATCATAACGGAAGACATTGCGAAGGCCTTCAGGGCCTTTAACGCACACAGCAAGGCTTGGGTGGAGATGCAGACGATGGAATCACCCGTCGAAGATAGGATGTTAGCTCTTGAAGAAACTATCAAGAAGAGACTCCAGAGCCGAGATTGAGTAACAAAGTCCTCACTTTGACGAGGATTCCCAATCGCTTTCGCGGTCTGTATCGTCTTCATCTCTCAACAATCCCTCTATCACCATTATCATAAAGCTAACCACGATTAGATCAGATGTTTGAGTCGAAGCCCTTCTCATCACCAACCCTTGATCATGGAGGAAAATTCATCCGATGAGTTTCCGGAGCGTACCCAGTACCCGATACGGCGATGACGGGTTGAATCAAGTCGGCCTCGACTGATACAAAGAAGGGAGACATAGATGAATATGCGCACCTCATGTGGTCCCGGTGTCTAGGCCTCGCCTGGCTGGGGCTGCAGGTTTTGAGACTTTTTCCCGCGCACGCAGTTTCCATTGCTACCTTTTTTTTTTTTAATTAATTCTGGGTAGAAGGTTCCGTGGAAAATTGGCTGAACTCCATGGATAAGTACTCAGTTGAATGGCTATTCATCAAGGACAAACATATCAATTATCCTTCAAGTAACAAAAGAGGATAGTAGCACTATATAAGGTATGTCCTGGGTCAGAGAGGAGTCCAATGTGCTAGATACTTTAAGACTCAAGTAGTACAATAAAAAATCACACATCAATGAGGCTCCAACAATTTTAAGACCGTCGGCCCCAAGAACATACGCGTAAGTGGCAGCGCCGCCAATGGCGAAGACATCGGTTAGAATCTCAGGCTTAAAGATCAATAAAATGAGATAGATGCATGATGGAAAGGAGATTGAGCGGGTCAAGACTAACGGCTCCGTAAGGGGCTCAATTGTTCTGAGTCTTCCCGCGGAGGTCTTGCAGAAACAAGACGTTCGACATGCCATCGTTCTCAATGCTATGCTAAACTCGGCGCAGGTTTGGTCTCCGAGGGCCCAGCCAGAGCAGTGTTACAACTACAGCTAGTGGGGACATACTCAGGCGTCGTGTGGAAAGGCAGCCAGATGTGACGAGTGCGCAGGTGCCAAACAAACTCGGGACCGTCCTAGGAAAAGTGTTTTTTTCGTCAACTGTGGCAAGTGTTGAAGCTTTGTCGTTTAGTGATAGAGATAAGGTAGAGAGTATGGGTCACGTTGTCTGAGATAACTGAGGTATGGATGTCTCACGAAATAATAACAGGGGTTAGAATGATTGTTTACTATTAGCATAAAAATCTTGCAGGCCTGAGTAGGGAAAGTCAACGTAACAGTGAACTACGAGCATGTACATAAAAAAAGCGTAGTCTACAGTCGAGTTGCCTTCTTCACGCAAAGTCTTCTCATTATTATTCTCATTCTAGATGTTTAATCTCTTCCTTGTGAAGACCACTTCGAGCCCGTACTCGTATCAGATCACGACATGCCCTCTATCTCTTCTTGTGGAAGACCTTGACCCCCTATTTACTCACACTGGTACCCTGTGGACAAAGTGCATACACACTCCGCGAGAGGATGTTTGAGTTCCTCACTATTGTTGTTGTACCAGTTAAAGTTGTTTTTATCTATATACAAAAGGTAGTTCTCCATCTACAAGTGGGCCAGATTGCTTAGGTCTGGCTAGCGGCTTTTGCCATCCTATTTTTTCCCCCCCGCATGGCATCACGTTGTTGGAAATATCGCGCAATGAAATGGGCGCAATATTTATTGAACGAAAGTAGAGGTTGACTAAAAGAGCGTTATGTTCGGATTAGAACTGTAAGTGTGGGAGATGTGCGCTACAATTACGAGTGTAAGCGACACAGAGCCTAAGCCACAGCATAAACGAGTGTGGCGCCATCTAGGCATAGAAAACCCCCAATAACCTCCTTGCGCCCACGCCATACAGCAGCTCATATCTCCAATAGGTAGCCTGAAGCGCTACCATATTGCCCATTCCAACCTCTTACATACACACAAGATCGTGTCGGGAACCTAGACGAAATGGAGGGCCCGTACGTCCACAACACTCCGTGTCTCCATTTCCAACTCACGTGCTATACAAATACTGTTCATCATGAATCCGAGATCATATTTCGCGCGCAGAGAAGTTGAATGATGATGGAGGCATGTCTGGATAACTCAGGGTTTTTGAGACGTTCCCCTGAGTGGGTATTCACGGATGGGAGTTGACTTAGGTGAAAAAAAAGCCGCCATAACTTCACAGTGGTACCTGCAAATGAAATCTAAGGCATGAGTGCTCTTTTCTTACGTTGAATCATCGATTCTGTACTTTTCTTTGATATTGTGTCATAGCTAGATAGCTGCATACGCAGTTAAAATCTAACGCAAAAATAAAAGAAAGAAAAAGAAAAGAAGTTCGAGGATGAAAAGCGTTAAATTATAACCGCAAGGAACATTGTTAGTGGCAGACAGCATCGTGTCGGAAATTTCAAGTCTATAAGGGGAGTGTTCAGAAAGCCCGCTTCGAGCTTCTGGAGCTTTTTTTTAATCGTTTGTGTATGCGGCTATACAGCTATGACACATGGTGTCAGTCAAATACACTCAGTCAGGATGTCTGAGAAAAGAAATTCTTGTGTGTGTCCCTCGAGCTATGTGTAATCTCTATTTATATACATCAGATCCCCCAAACTCCGATCTCACCCTTTGACTAGACTACTTCACTTTTGAATTCTTTGAAAATACCGTAACCCTTCCCGGCTTTCCACTAACTCCGATACGTAACTCATTTGAATACTACCCTACAAATTCATCAGAATAAATAATCATAAATTCACTGAAATGTAACCCAAACAAAGGAAATTCTGCTCAACACATGGCCAGTGCTATGTATACATATTGGATGACTCTTTTGAAGTTAGAGACACTCATACTCTAGATTTAATTTGCAAATACCACTATAAGGTATGTTCGCTTACACAAACTGTCGATCCTCCTCCGTAAGTACCCATCAAAGGGAATTTCGAAACCTTTGGTTATCCAAGCATGCCTTCGTCATATATGTATACCAGCACCGTGAGAGATATGGTTGTGATTTGTCGGATTTGAACCAGCGATCTACTG